CTCCAAAGAATTCTTTTGTAAAAGCAGTTTCACTCAAGCCTCACTTTGTGTGATGGCCGAATTAAGAGAACTGCAGTGAAATGTTGTTTCCTGCTCAGGAAAAATGCCGTACAAACGTGATGTTGAGCACGGCGTAAAAGGACAGCGCTATGGGGGGAAAACTCAAAGTGTATCAGTGGTTTTCTCATTTCAAAAAAGGTGAAGTGGTGATTGATGACAAACCTTGTTCTGGATGTCCTTCAACTTTTCAAATGGACAAAAATGTCGACTCGTCGTGCATTTGGATTTCATTCCACCAGGTCAGACTGTTAAACAAGCTTTCTATTTAGAGGTTCTGAGAAGATTCCATAACAGTGTGACAAAAAAGGCCTGATTTTTGGCAGATGGGGGACTAGTTTTCCCACCGCAACAATGCACCCGCTCACGCAGCCATCTCAGTGTACCAGTTTTTGGCAAAAAAACAGCATGCCTCTCTTGCCCCACACACTTACTAACCTGACCTCGCTCTGTGCAACTTCTTTTTGTTTCCTCAAATGAATAGGGACATGAAAGGATAACAGTTTGACAATGTAGAAGAGGTGAAAAAGAAAAACAAAAACAAGGGAGGTCCCGTCAACCATCTAAACAAATAAGTGTGAAAATATTTCCAAGAATGAATTCTCAGATTTGATCAATGTATTAAGTGTAATGGGGAGTACTTTGGTTCCCCCTTTCCATCCCACCCTCCCAGAAAGTGATATGGTTGTTTGGTTAAAAAAAATTAAATACATAGCTTTGAAAAAAATCTGTTTTTCTTTTAGTACCCCCTCGTCCTCAAAGTACCACAGACTGCAGAAGAACAAATAAACCTGTCATGTAGAGAGATAAGAATGCTTTCACATTTTTGATGGGACTTTAGACTTGTACAACCACTACAGAAATCAGTATGACTCTTCCTTAAACAAACAGAAATATAAGTACCTGATGATCTAGCAATCTCTGTACAGGGCATAGACCCAAAGAAATTAAGAATACAACACGAACAGACACCTATGTTTATTGCAGCAAATTCCACAATTCCCTTCATGGATGGATCGACACGGTGCCTACAGCAATGGGCTCAAACCTAAAAACGGTGAGGCTGACTGAATAGGACAGTGTTTCATTATTAGTACATAGGGTTGATGTGTGTCCAAATGGACTCCAGACCACCGGACAAGAGCAGCAGCCTACTGAAGAAAAAGCGGTGATCTGCTTCCATAACGACTGTGCACACCAAACCCACCCACACCCACACCCCGCCATTCAGAGTTTGGTTTGGTTTGCTGTGGGCGAGGGTAATTTCCTTCTGAAGGACACCTGGTGGGGCAATGGTTAAATATTCCTTTGCTAACAAGAGGTTGGCTGTTCAAACCCACCTAGAGGACCAGCAGGAGAAATACTTGCAGGTTTGCTTCCATCAAGATCACCACACACACACACACACACAAA